TATATATAACATGATGCTGAGGATTGAACCCAGTGCCTCACTTGTGTTAGGCAAGTGCTCTATCACTGAGCTACAACCCCAGCCTTTTGTTTATCTTTAATTTTTTCTATCTTTTATGAGCTTTTACAATAATCCTTGCCCATTCCATTGTTGTAAAGAATTTCTCCCATGGTTTCTTCTAGTAATCTGTAGTTACAGGTCTTACATTCAAGTCTTTAATATATTTGAATTGATTTTTTGTAACTGGTGAACAATAAGCATCTAGTTTCATTCTTCTGCATGTGGATGTCCAGGTTACCTAATATTGTTTGTTGAGAAAGCTGCCCTTTTTCTAATGTGTGTTTCTTAGTTTATTTGATGACATTCAGTTGGCTTTAGATGTGTGAGTTTACTTCTAGTCTTTTTATTCCATTACACTGGTCCATGGGTCTGTCATTTTTTTGTTGTATATTTTGAATTCAGTTAACGTAATGCCTCCTGCTTTGCTGTTGTGATAAGTGCAAGTTTTATGATTTTTTATATAATTCTTTTAAGAATATCACTGGTATTTTGTCAGGGAATGCACAGAATCTGTAGATTGTTTTGAATAATTTGGACAGCTTAAAAATATTGTTTTTGTCTAATCCATGAACATGGAATGGCCTTCTATTTTTGTTTCCTCTTCAATTTTTTTAATCAAAATCTATAGTTTTCATTGTACAGATCTTTCACATCCTTCATTAAGTGTATTCCTAGGTGTTTTAATTTAATAACTAGGGTAAATAGTATTGCCTTTTAGTTTTCTATTCAAGATAATTCCCTGTTGGCATATAGGGAAGTATTGACACTACTATTTTGTTTTGTTTTGTTTTTTTCTGGTAATGTGTATTGAACCAAGTGCTGTGCACATGCTAGGCAAGTGCTCTATCACTAAGCTACTTCCAAAGACCTTTTTGTTTTATTCATTTTATTTTGAGATAGGGTCTCTAAGTTGCCAACCTGGCATCAAGTATATATTATTGCCTTACCATCCTCAGTAGTTGTGATTAAAGCTGCTGTGATTTTTGTATGTTGATTTTATATCCTGCAATGTTGCTCAATTTGTTTGTTAGGGCTAATAGATTTCTTTAGTGGAGTATTTCAGGTTTTTCTATATATAATAACATATCATCTGCTAGCAGTGATTTGACTACTTTTCTAATTTGAGTGTTTTTCATTTCTTTTTTTTTTAAACTTTAATTATTTTTATTGTTTTTTATGTATTTTTATTTGTTCTTTTTGGTTATATGACAATAGAATCTATTTTTATATATTTATACAAGCACAGAATATTTGTTATTCTAATTAGAATTCCAGTCATTTTCTTACCAGATTACTCTGGCTAGTACTATGTTGAATAAAAATGGTGAAAGTGTGAATCCTTTTTGTTCCAGATCTGAGAGATCACCTTTTCCCCATTCAGTTTGATGTTAGCTGTTGATTTATAATAAATGGCTTTTATTATATTGAATTATACCTAATTTCTTCAGCACTTTTATCATGAAGGGATGCATGATTTTATCAAATAATTTTACTGTACCTGTTGAGATGATCATATGATTTTTGTCCTGTCGATTGATATGGTATATCATGTTTTTGGATTTGCATATGTTGAACCATCCTTTTCCCTGGAATGAATCACACTTGATCATGGTAAATCATCATTGTAATGTGCTATTGGACTTGGTTTCATATATTTTATTGAAGATTTTCACATCTAAATTCCTCAAGGCTTTGGCCTGTAGTTTTATTTTTGTTATTGTTGTTGTGTCTTTATCTATTTTTATTATCAAGGTAATGATGACCTTGCAGAATGAGTTTGGAAGAATTTCTTCCTATTTAATATTTTGGAATAAATTAAGAATATTTGGAATTATTCTTCTTTATATGTATGGATAAAAGTAGTAGTGAAGCCATATATTCCTAGGATTTCCTTAAAAGCAAGATTTCATGTTATTCATCCAATCTCATTCTTTACTGATCTGTTCAACAGGTTTTTAATTTCTTCATGATTCAATCTTGATGATATCCAGGAATTTTTTTCTTTTGTAAGGATGTTAAATTTTTATGTGTATTTGTTCATAAACTTCTTAAAATGTACTTATCATGCAATTTTTCCAGGAATAGAAGTGAAGTTAAGATGATTCAATATATATTTTATGTAGTATATTTTTTCAAATGTTCATGTAAATAAGTTAAATTAATATGACACCAAGACATATAAAATAATTTGATACTGATAAATCACTAAAATCGATCCTGGAATACATTATCTTCTATATAAAGATTATTAACTAAATCCCTTCATATTTTCATAATTTGATTAAAATTGAACCTTTGTGTTCACTAGTCTGGCTGGTCTAGTGATTAAAAGACTCCTTGAATTCAAATGTCAGTTGTATTTCTTAGAAGCTTTGTGACTTTGGCTGTTATTTTACTTCTCTGGGCCCTGGTTTCCTCATGTGTGTAGTAATAGTACCCACCTCATAAGGTTGTTGTGAGGATTAAAGGCGTAAACATGTGTAAAATTCCAAGAATAATAGCTAACATATATGAAGCTTTCAAACATTATCTAGTAATAGAATGACCATTATAAATGTGTTTAGTTTATCATCTGACATTTTTTGTGTGAAAACATTACAACGTTAACTGGAATATATGGGTGTTTTATAAACAACTGTGTTTTCCTTCTTATAGGATATTTGTCTCAACATTTAATGTTTTCACTTTTGCTTTTAGCCAGTTATCATTGAACCTGAAGCAACAAGTTTTACAATGGAAAACAGACCTGATTATATGCCTCCAACTCAATATTCATCAATGGTGAGTAAATTGAATTATTTCATTTTGAGCATCAAGACATTCACTACTAGCAGAAAAGCAAACATCATGACTTAAGTAATGCTCCACATTTAGCTTGAATTTAAGGACCTTGGTATAATTGGGCTCCTTACAGTATTATTTATAAGCAAATTGAATCATGCTACCGTGTACTCTAGTTAACATTCTCTTTCAAAAGTCTTAAAAGAATTCAAATGAATTTGTTCAAAATTTTATTTGACAGTTTAAATGCTGTTGGTAATCATGTATTGTTTATTTCCTTGGCAAGTAGACATTGGCCAATTTTTATCTTTTGTTCCTGTGACCCTTTCTCCCTTGAAACATTGTGTAATATTTAATTTTTCTCTAAGTTTCTTATTTTTTTGAGAGAGAGAGAGAGAGAAAGAGAATTTTTTAATATTTATTTTTTAGTTTTCGGTAGAAACAACATCTTTGTATGTGGTGCTGAAGATCGAACCCAGAGCCCTGCGCATGCCAGGCGAGCGCGCTACCACTTGAGCCACATCCCCAGCCCTTCTTATGTTTCTTGACTACTATGTTTCTCAGTTGCTTTTTAGCTTTTATTCCTTAGCATAATATTAAAAAAACCTTAAAAATTTGATCAAATTTTCCAATGCATCTCCTGAAACTCCCTGTCGTGTAATCTACTGGCCATAACTCCAACTACTCTTAAATCCACAAATATTCCAAATGTTTCACTATTTTGACCTTTCATACATTTTGTGTGTTTGGATTTCCCTCCACTCCTTTCTCATTCTCTATTGAGTAATTCTTACTCATTCTCCAACATTTAGCTCAAATGTCAATTCTCTTGTGAAATCTTGTCTGACATCCGTAGGTAAAATTAATCTGTTTATTCTTGTTTAGTTACATGGCACTTTGTAACTAATATTGTCAAATATTTCATCACATTGTATCTTAGTCAATCTGTGGCATTTTGCTTATTTATTCGTGTAACTGCAGAAAGTCAAAATGTACTTTGAATATAGTAAGGAATTAATATTTATTGACTAAGTGAAAGGATAGATGTATGACTAGATGACTGATATCTCAGTGCAAGGACAGACCAAATATCCATGAGCCAGAATGAATAAACCAGAAGACTGTTTGGTCCACTAGGTCCAGAGACAGAATACAAACTCCAAGGAAATCCTGATAAACAATCCTAGTGTTTTTGTTCAGCTATCTCCATCCTTTCTGCCCAAGGAAAGGAAACCTCTAACTAGTGTTAAAAAGATAGGAGCATTTACTCTTCCAGGGCGCGCGCGCACACACACACACACACACACACACACACACACACACAAGGAATATATTTTAGAACAGTTCTGAACCTTCTGACCAAATTATAAAGTAATTAGACTCCTCCAACTTCCACTTCTACATTCAAAAAGTAAATTTCCTATGTTATTCCAGTATTTCAAAAAGGGGAAAATACTACATTGCATATTTATTTTCTTATCAAGATCTGATTCAATAATTTTGGAAATATTTTCCAAGCAATATATAATTACCAGAACAATAAAATTTTTAGCTTCTTTAATAGAAGCAATTTCAGTGATGACATATAGAAATTTCTCTCTTCCTTTCCCACATAAGGTAACATAAAAATATAGCATATTAAGGGATAATAACTCACTTTTTCTAACCATAAATTTTGAAATTAAAATTAAAAAAATATTAGCAATTTTCTCATCATATAATTTATAATTTTAATTTGTATTATAACAAATTTAGAGTTACATTTGTATTATATATTATACATAGTTGATTATATAGTTACATAGCAATAAATGTTATAAATTATTTGAAGGAAAAGGGAAATCTTAATCACTTCTTACTAAACAAGTAACAAATAGCTACTTTTTAAAACATTTTTTAGTTGTAGATGAACACTATATCTTAATTTATTTACTGAATTTTATGTAGTGCTGAGGATCAAACCCAGTGCCTCCTACATGCAAGGCAAATGCTCTACCACTGAGCTACAACCTCATCCTACAAATAGCCACTTTTAAAGGGAAAATGTGGATAAACCATTCCTAATTTGAATTATTTGTTTATAAAAGTTAAGTAATTCAGACCAAATGGAATGCTAATTAATATCTAGCTCAAAAGTATTACCATCATTCATTTTCTGGACGTGGAAAGTTCTAAGTGTTCCACACATATTGGATGTGGCTTTTTCTTGGAATATTCTGTGTTCCTAAGTAGGTAAAAGCTCACACATATGTGAAAATGATGTCTCAGTTGTCTCTTTACAGTTTCTTTATCAGAGATAACACTAAAGGTATGAAGAGAAATGTTCATCTAATTACTATGTCTACCATTAGAACAATGAAAGAACTTTATACTTTCCACATGTAAAATTCCTATTTTGCATACCTTTTGAGTGTAGTTACATGTACTGTAATGTTTTACTAAGGAAACACTCCATGAAGTGTAAATCCAAGTAATAATAGCTATCATGTATGGATTGTTTTCTGTATACTGAATCTTATGATAATCATTTTATAAATGTTGATGTAATCTTTTTATAAAACTTATTAATTATGTATATTATCATATATATTATTTTCTCAATTTTATAATTGAAGAAATTGGACCATATAGAGTACATAACTTACCCAAAGTCACAGTAGTCTGACTCCTAAGCCCAGGGTCTCATTCGGTGTGAAACACTATTTCCTTCATAGCATTTGTATCTAGAAATACTACAATTACCTCACTCCAAAACAAAGTTCCATTTGTTTTCCTGACTGTCTTTCCAGAAAGGGCCGAACAGATTGCCTGTTTTAAATCAAGGCAATATTGTAAGTTATTGGCAGTGCTAGAATTAGTTACATTCTCTGAAAGAGCAAAGTACTGTGGTAAAATATTAACCCTCTTTAAAGATGTCATTAGCGTTGAGAAAAGTTTTGCAGTGCCCTAATTGAAAAAATAATTTAAGACTCCTTTTTAAAAGTTTATGGGGAGAAACACGTATATTCCACTAGTTTATAATATCATTGGTTTCTGCAGGGCTAGTTAAATGGCTATTTCTATCCATTTTGTTTTTAAGATATATTATCCTTCAATTATATTTAAAAATGGCAAAATACAATATATTATTAGAGATGAGAAAGTTTTCAAGCTGCCAGGTGTCTTTTAAATTCAATTAGCACACTGTCAATTGTTTTCTTCTTATTTAAAACATGAACTACAGATTTTTTCCTGTTTATATGTGGGTGATGTGCCTATATATTCCTTATACTTGTGTCTTTTTTCCTCTCAAGATAGTTTACATGATCTACTATGGCTTATTTAAGTTTTCAAAACATACACTTCTTTGAATGTAAATTATTTTTAAAGATACTAAATGAAGTTTGTTGTTGTTGTTGTTCTGTTACACAAAACATGGAGCCTACCCAATTAATTGTATAAGAAGTACATCTAACTTTCACAGTAATGCTCCATGCTATGCACCTTAAAGAAGTTATTCTTTCTATAAACATTTCTATGTGATAGTGTCATACTCCTACTCAAAACCTCTCAGGGCTCTTCTTTACCTGTAAAGCAATTCTGAATAGTTTTCCTTGTAATTCAAAACCATCCATTTTTTAGTGCTGATTAGAAAACAAGCAACACTGGTTTTCTCAATATCCATGTTTTTATGGTTTTGCTTGTTTATTTTGTTTTACTTTTGCTTCTGCCACAGTGAGCTACTTACCCTCTTAATAATTCACTGCATGCTTTCTAGTAACTTGTCTTTATTCAAACAATTGAATCTCTCTGAAAATGCCAACTTCCTTTCTTATAATCTGAATATTGCTGAATAGATGACCCCTATTTCTCCAAGGGGTCTTTTCTGATTATTACACTTGCTATAGATTAAACAGTCATAAAATTTTGTCTTCTTATACTACTTCGTATTGTTATTTCTCTTTTATGTGGAGATAATGCTCTATTAACCAGGTATACTGATTTCCAGAGAAACAACTTGGCTTATCCTTCAAACACATAAGAGAGGGCCTTGACCAAACTAAACACAAATATTTGCCAATTCAGGCACTAATCTTGTAATTTGGTATATATAATTTCAAGTCTTAAAGTGGAAAGGGCAGTCAATTGAAGATAAGAGACCAGTCATTCAGCAAGTAACACCTTGTTTTGCACAAGACAGATCACTCAACTCACTCACCTGTGAGGTGGTAATTAAACTCACTGTTCTACTTACTTCAATTTTGGGGTTAGATCATATGTGATTATTTATGTGAAAGCATTTTTAAATAAAAATTGTTATATAATTATAAGGTGGTAGTGATAGACAAATATTTCCTTGCTGAAATAATCTATTTGTAGTTGTCCAAAGCATCTGAGGAAAATTACACTTATTAGTATGTTCTGCTACATAACAAACCTAACTTTTCTCAGCTTTGAAATACTGAAGTGGCACTATGAAGTATTTGAGTAGCTTCAATACAAACATCTTTTTTCACTTACTGGTGAAACAGAAAGCAAAAGGTCATGAGCATAAACCATACTTTTATGTTGAGAACTGTTTTCTCTACAATAAAGTTCAACCCATAACTTATTTACTTTTATTGTAAATTGGAATTATCTTTGAGTGAGTTGAGTTTTTCAGTTATCAACATATTAATGACAGGATTTGTGAGATTCTGTAGGTTGATATTTTCCCTAAAATAAAAATAGAAAATCAAAATTCTGTTTTCCATTTCTTGCAGTTGGATCAAGGAAGTCTATAGTAAGTAAAGGAAACAGTACCAATGAAAAGGAGAGAAAGCACTCAATGAAATTATTTGTTAGAAGGAATTCAACATAAAGCACATAAAATATATAAAATTAATACATGCTGAGAAATTGTAATAATTTCAATTGGCATGGATGATATTTCCAGTGCATATTGCATTCCATAGACATTCACTTTAGATATATATCAGAACTGAGATACAATTTTATGATTTCTCTATATTACTTTGAAC